ACATATTTCATAATAATCCTAAGGTTTGGGATTTTTTTGTTTGTTGGGGTTTGGGTTTTTTTTTGTTCTTTTGTTTTGTTTTCTTTGATTTGGTTTCGATTTTTTTGAGAACTCTTCCCCCGTTTAGTTCCTCATTGTTTCCACGTGGGTAAGTATCCGTGCTGCGGGGCTGCGCAACCGGCCACTGCTCCGCGCATCCCGCCCCCGGGCTGCTGGGCGAGGAGAAGCCCGGGGAGGCCACTGCACCAGACGCCTGCCCGCTGCCCTGCAGCCCTGGCTCGGGGGCTGTACAGCGGCAGAAGGATGCAGTAATCCGTCCCGGCGGGGGTTCTCGGGGCTGGCCTCGGGCACAGCTCCTGGCCCGAGCGGCTCGGCTGGGCCGCCCTGCGCCCTCCGCCCCTGAGGAGCACTGACCCCGATTCTCCTGAGAAAACACCTGTTAAGCCTTAAAGTTACGCGAACGCCCTTCTGCCATTGAGAAACCAAACCACAGCATTCCGACACCGTGCTTCAGACCCCAGAAAAAAAGGGCTTTAGTAGCAAGAAACTCCGTGGTAGGAGAGGCTCTGCCTGCGCGCACTGAGCCCCGGCCTTCCGCCCCCCGGCGTGGGGAGCAGCGGCTGGGCGGGGGGCCCGCAGCGCCTTTCCGCGCCACAGCCCTCAACAGCCGCAGACACCTTGCGGCATGCCCGCAACTATCCCTGATAATAACAGCGATAATTACAAGAGCAATTACAGCAACAGTAATAATGACAGTTAACAACAACAGAAATAATATTAATAGCAAGAATGGCAAGAATAAGGGGCTCGGAGGGACAGGTGACCAAACGGGGCAGGAAGACAGGGGATCCGGCGCCGTGCCGCAGTGCGGGACGGTGCGCGGGCGCGGAGGACCGGCGTCCAGCCCGAGGGGAAGCGAGTGCTTACCGTTTCGGAAGCCGGGGGGCCGGAGGCGCCGCGGCGGCGGGCGCAGAGCTCCGCGCATCCCCCCGCAGGCGCGGGAGAGGAGGCGTCGGGGTCCCGGGGAAGTGTCATAGCGGCGGCGGTAGGACCGGCCGCGGGTTGCGGGGAGCGGGACACAAACATAAGGGCGACTGCCATACACCTCAGCCAAGACAAAGGTTAGGAAAAGAGGGGCTGAGGCTCTCTGAAGGCAGAATGCAGGGGGAAATTCGCCAGGGAAATCAGGAAAAGGCCATGAAAGCGCTCGCTGCCTGCACATGACCAGCCGCAGCCAATGACGAGCCCAAATAGGTCATAAAAAGGTCTATTACCAAGTTGTAAATTTTCTTCAAACAAAAAGGAATTTACTGCAATTCCTTGCGGATTTTGCACATACTGCTTCCCAGCGCCATGTTTCTTTCGCCTGCGCGCTGCGCTTTTACTGAGTCGTGGGTCCCGCCTGCCCGCGGCCTGCGCGCCCCGGGCGCGGTGGCGGAGCTCCGCGGGCACAGCCGGGGCGCGGAGGATTCGAGCAGGGAGCGGAGCGAGCCCCCGCGCAGCATCCGAGGAGCTGCACAAAGCTATGGGGGGAGGGGAGGAGGGAGCGCTGTGTCTTGCCCCAGCGAAAGGGGGCTTTACCCGCATTTCCCCCCGCCCCCGCTGCGCCGGGCCCTAAAAGAAACCACATTTCCTTTAGCGCCCACTACAGAAGTCGAAGCCGTAGCTGACTTAAAAATAGTCCGCACTGCTTCCCCACCCTGTTCCCGCAGGTTGCTTCTGGGAGCTGTCACTGGAGCCAGGCTGCCTGCAGCCTGCCCGGGAGGGGCTGCCTCCGCCCCCGGTAAAACCTTTCCGGGAGCTCTAGGACCTGAGGCACCAATAGGGAAAACGCGATTATTAGAAAGTACTCGAAAAGACTAAAACCACAGAGAATACTCAGCTCGGAGATGAAATATTGTGGATGTTTCTTGCTCAATTTTTGTTTCAGGGAATAGCCAGAGTCCTCCATCAGTGGCCTCCGTGTTGATTATACCTGCCTCGAAAATAGAGCTAACAAAAAACCAAACCAACACTCCTAATGATGTAGGACCTTTTAATCACTGCTTCAAGCAGATATTCATGCCCGTGAATACCGCACCCGTGCAGCGCGTTGCTCTGCCGAGGCACTGGCACTTTTCGCTGTGGCTCTGCAGCACCCGCGGCCGTGCAGAGCTGCTCGACGCGGGAACGGAGAAATTCCGCGAAAACAAAAGGTGCGGTACATCCGCGCTGCGGTTCCCGCAGGCGGGCCCTCACCGTCGCTGACGCCGCAACCCGCGCAGCTACGTTTTTTCTCTGCCAAAATACCGCTGCCTGCTCCGGAGCTCGATGGCTCTGGTTTTTACCAGGGGCTTACTGTCGGCTCGCGCCAATTTCTGGTTCACTGTTCGTTTTTATTTTTTAGCAAGACTCCAAGTACGAAGGAGGAAAAGATTCAGCTGCCAGGCTATGGAGGGGGCCGGGAGGGGGAATACAACTGCAGATATTTTTTTCGTAATAAATAAGACAGGAAGGATCCCAGTTACCACCAGGCCTTTGCAAGTGATGTGCGCACAAGGAAGTCAGTTTTCGCCTGTGTGGCTGCGTTCCCAGTCGGCCAAGGGAGAGGGACGCTAACGGAAACTTCTTCAGGAATACTTTAATTTTATTGTATTTGGAAATTAAAAAAACAACTACGCCAGGAGCTCTTTCCGGGACAAATACTAGCCTAGGAAGTGCTCCGCTCGGATGTGAAGGTCTCCGGCTCGCGTTTCCCCCGGCAGGCAGCCCGCGTTTGCAGCGAGCGGCAGCGGCTTTTCCCGCGGCAGGGCCCGCGGGACGCGCTGAGCCCAGCCTCGGCGGCAAGCGCAGCAGAGGAAAGAGGCTCTTTTCCCTAGTCGGAGACCCAGCACTCCAGTGCCACTAGCAAAGGGCATTATTTCGAAAAGCGAGGGTATTTTACGCGTCAAGTGACTGGGTTTTTCTTTAACGCCCCTCCACCAGCCCCACATACTTCCTGGACACTAGCGGTACTGCTGTATTTATGCAAATCCATGCAGCAAAATGTTTACTTCATTGCTTCGCTGCAGTTTCCCCTCGTTTACAACCTTTAACCAACTACGCGACTAAAATAAACCGAGAACAATAGCTCCGCTTGCTTGTGCCTCCCTCTAGAGCTGGCGTTTTGCAGGAGTGGAAACGTGCCTAGCTCGGTGATGGGGAGGGAAAAAGAGGAAGGAAAACGAAATTAACCAAACCAGCACCAGAAATCCCGACCTCGGGGACGGTGTTTCCCACCATCCCGTGAGAGGAGTGGGGTGGGTGCGGGAGAAGGGCCCCGGAGCCGGGCGGGCACAGCAGAGGCTGTCACCTCCCCAAGCTCCTGGATGAGAATTTCCAAAAGGGGCTCTGACTCAGTTCGTACTCCGTTTATCGGGCAGATAATACACGTTTGTCGTGTTTGTTGCAGCTGCTGGCGTGCCCCTGCGGTTCCCTTCACGGAACCATCACTCACGAGGGTGTGAAGCGGTGAGGAAAAAAGGACGCAAAAATCTTGTTCAGGATTTATACCTCATACCTCAGCCCTGTGCCTGCTGTTCCTAAAAAGGTTGGCTCGGCCGTCCCCTCAGACACTGCGGTCTGCGGGACCCCGCCAAGGAGCTGGAGAAAGAGGAGGGAGGGAAGAGGGGGAGGTAAATTAAACCGTTTTACTGATTAGAGCCGATGAATCTTCGGCTCCAGCCTCCCCTGGGAAGCCCACCCAAACCCAAACCCTGCGATCATATTCAGTGGAATAAAAAAGGTCTTTTTTTCCCGTTTACGCGTGGTTTGGGACCACAGACCTTTACAGCACCTGAGAGAGCTCCAGGCAAGGCCACAAAAGCTCTGCATTTCTCTACTAGTCCAGCATCTGCAAGGGGAGGCTAGGGCCGGTATGGCCGCGGTGTGCGTGGAAGGGGCTGCAATCCCCGCACCAGTCAGAGCAGCCCTGGGAGCCGGCGGAGGCCCAAGTGTGCGCCCCGGGACCGTGGCTTCCTGCCCCTCTCCTTCCCCCGACACCTCGGCCAAGCTGGCAGCGCACAGCCTCGAGGAGTAAAAGGTCGTGTTAGCCGGCTGCCGCCCCGCTGCCCCCCACCCTCTGAGGAGGCACAGAAAAAGGCAAAGGCAGCATCCAGGTGCACACGTCGAGGGGGCTCCCAGGGCCGAGGCGCAGCCTGGGCTCAGCCCGCAGTGGGTGGCCGCAGTCCCCGCTGGCCGCGGCTTCCACCACGGCCCCGCAGAGCCCATGGCTGGCCGCTCCAGCGGGGTTTGCAGGAGGCAGGGAGCGAAAACCAGGATTTGTATCCAACGCGCTGTCCCTGGGCCCCACAGAAACGCTCTGCATGGGAGAAAGGACGGGGGAAAGGCCCAGGGAAGTACTAGTACAGATGCGGAGAGGCTCGGAGTGTTACTGGTGGAGGGGGTTACAAAAAGGATATCAGAAAGCCAAAGCATTTTATATTTGAATAAATTTGGTTTATTTTAATCAAATATCAATAGCGAAAGGTTAAATATATTTCTAAGATCTTAAAATTTATTAAATTTATTTAATTTACTCAACATAAGATAAAACCAAAAAGTTAAAATAATACAAGTGCACTTCTGTTGATTAATAAAGCATTATTAAATGTCTTGGGTTTCGGTATTTATTATTAGGAAGTTTATGTCGTTCCTGGCAATCACCTTCTTTAAAGATTGAAAAGAAATTAAATTTATATATATATATATTTATATAATTAGAAATGTACTGCTACAAACTCTGTATCAAATTTGCAAAATAAGTAGATGAACTGTTAAATCTAGAGATTGTTCCGGATAAGGTTAAAAACAAAACAAAACCACAAACAACTGAAGCACCCGAAGCAAATAAATGTCAAGGGGAGGAACACAGGGTCACTCGTCCTACAGCAGGACCACGTACATGGGTAGACGGGCCAAGATGTAGGGCCACGGCACTGGTTATTTTTTATAGCCTTTCACAAAGACTTTCAGGACAAAATTTAGTTCTTCTGGCCTTCAATTCCATCTTCTTCCAGATCATGTGCTTCCTTTTTGGCCTCCCCTTCCTTTCCCTCCTGTCTGGAAGCGGGGAATTTGTCCTTGTTGTTCTCCTTTTTCCATTTCATCCTTCTGTTCTGAAACCAGATCTTTACCTGCCTCTCGGTGAGTCCTAGTGCGTGGGACACCTCGATCCTCCTCTTCCTGGTCAGATAGGGGTTAAAGAGGAACTCCTTTTCCAGCTCTAGAGTCTGGAATCGGCTGTATGTTTGTCTTCCTCTCCTCCTACCCGGTGCTGCTGTTTAAAACAAAAACACAGGGTTTTGGAGGCTGATGTGGTCGTTCAAAACAAGACGCAGGCAGGGAGTGAGGGCTCGAGTCCCTCTGGAAATCCCTCGAGAGAAGCCCTAGCGAAAAGGAGGGATAGAAAGTAGAGGGCACAGAGGAGTCCAGAGCTTTAGATACGAGTGCATGGAAATAGCTTACAACAGACGCACGACGGGCCTCGGGGTTTACAGGACCGAGTTTAAGGGGTCACTTTATTATCTTGTAACCAGCAACCCCCGGCCCTGCACCTTTCCCATTCAGCGGCGGCGGGAGCCAGGCGAGAGTGTCCTCTGTGCCCGAGAGGAGGCTTTAAGGCTACTCTTGGGATGGCAGCCACCTTCTGCAGAGGCTTCAGTTTGCTCACTGTATCGCTTTATTACCGCAAGCTACCGCCGTGATAGAAATCGCGGGGAGGGAGGCAGGGAGAGAGCAAAGCAGATGCAGGGAAGCCGGAGGCAGCAAGAAAGAAGAGGGAGAAGGAAAAGAAAGTTTCAAACTCAGACGTGAGACGGAAGCAAATTTTTTACTGCGTCCAACCTTGTGGTCTCATCCAGGGAAACATTTGAGCAGGAGACGAGCTCTGATTTAAGTGGTCTGGTTCCTCGCCAATATTAGCACTGGACGATTTACAGTCAGGATATTGTACCAGCTCGGCCTCTTGCTGTGTCGTAAAAATCTGCTGTCTCTGTAAGTTATCGTATCCGTAAAATTTAGCGGGCTCCCCGTGACAGGTAACCCCGCTGCAGGGGGCAGGAGGCGGAGGCGCGGCGGGGGGAGGAGGAGGCGACTGGTAGGCGGCCGTGGGGCTCCCCCCGGCCGGGTGGTAAAAGTCCGGGGCCGCGCCGCC